CCAACGCTGCTCCCGGCTCCTGGTTCCTCCATCACGTTTCTCCATGTCATCTCTGCTTGGACCCAGGAAGAAGAGACGATAATAATGAAAATGGGTCTCCAGACCACACAGGGCTGGGGGAGCCTCCCCTCACGTCCCCTTACGTCACCTCACGTCCCCTCACCCCGTGCTTGCCCTCTCTCTGCATCAAGTTTCCTTCACCCTGACACTTGCTGCTCTCCCAAGACTGCACAGGGTTCCCAGCCTCTGTAGCCCACACTCACATAGGCCGAGGACGGAACCCCCCAGGCCAGTATATCCCTCCCTACCTGGGGCTAAGCCCCCGTGGTCTAGGCTGGGGCTCCCCATGCACAGAACCAGTCCAGTTACCTGGACCTACAGCCAGGAAGATGCCCAGGATCGACATTTGCAGAGCAGTTAGCCTGTGGCTGCTTCACAACCTCCCAGTGTTTAGGCCCCTCCCTCTGGGCTGTTACAGTGGAGAATGTGTCTGTGAGGACCAAACCCTACTGCCCACGTGGGCCATTTGAATACAACCCACTTGAGTAGGAGCCACATTCCTGCCCCTTCAGGTGGGTCAGTCTCTGTGAATACTGCCCTGTGACTCACTCTGCTCCTGCTTCTGCTGCCAAGACCCTGACAGGGAACTGGTACTTTCTGCTGCAGGGTGAGTGTCTGTGGCACCTTGGGCTTGGCTGTGGTATGAGGAAAAGGTCCCAGAGTGAGCTCAGCACCAGGAGAGCCTGTCAGTACCCATGGGACTTCCCCAGAGCTCAGGGATCCTGTACCCAACTTGTGGGATTCCTAGAGAGAAATCGACACTCAGCCTGCTGCAGCAACCCCACAGGCACCTAGAGCCCCATCCCTGCCTGTGTCCCAGCTCACCCATGCCAGCTCAGCTACCTGATTGCTGGGTGCTGGCCATCAGAGTCACTTGATGGTACATTTAACACTTCTTATCTATCTTGCCCTGTGCCTCCTGGCAACTCAGTGTTCACACTTGGGCTATCCAAAGTCTGGAAGGCCTTGTGGCTGGTCACTTCCTGCATTTTGAAATGGGATCTCCATTGTCCAGGAAGGCCTCTCACCATCAGGCTCAGACCATCTTCCTGTGCCAGCCTCCCTGGTACTGGAGTTCCAGGCACAGACAGCTTGTGCTTGGCAGCTTCGTCCTCCTTCAGGAGCTGAGCCCAGACAGGGAAAGCAACTGGCTTGCGTGCAAGTCTCCAGCCAGAGCAGCAGGGTTTGCTGCTGGCCCGCTAGCTTCCCCTCCTAGGCTGCCCCTGTCTCTCCTGCCTCTTCACGGGGGCCCTTCCAGCATCCTTTCTCCCTGCCGGCCCTCCTCTCATCCCGTGGAGCCCTTTCTCCTGTCCTCCCCCGCCCGCCCGCCCGCCTGCCCGCCCGCCCGCTGCCAGTGCCTTCCACGCAGGCGACATTGCCAGCCAGGGAAGGGAAAGATGCGGGCTGGCATTCTGTCAAGGAATTAATTGAAAAATAAAACCATTAGGTGGGAACTGGAGAAATGCAGAAGTGGGTGTTTGGAGGTTGGGGGGAGGGGGCAGGACTAGGGGGCTGTTGGGGGCCGGACAAGCTTTTTGTCAAGTTCATTTCTCGGTATTGATGTTTGGTGACAGTCACTTGTTGTTTATCTTCAGGAGCAGCTGCGCCGTGGAAGGAAAATGCACGGCTTGTTCCGTTTATTTATTTCACACCTTCCCCGGGTTCTGCTTTGTGTTTGTTTGGTGAAGGCCCACGGAGGCCTCCGACACGGGGAAGCGGGGTTTCCACAGCTGTTCCTGCCAGGCGGAGCCGGCACTCCATGTGGAAACAGGCCAGTGGGGGGGGGGGGGGGGAACCGGGTGGGCCCGCACCCAAGACACAGGGCCCAGCTTGTCCTACAGGGCAAAATGGGAGGGGGGTCTAACACTGATCCCTGGCTGTGGACTTGAGCCCAACCCATCAGTAAGGTGCAGCCACCCCATCCTCACAGCCACCCCAGGAGGTGGCAGAGAGTAGGGGTGACATACTCAGGGTGATATGGTTGATGATGGCAGAGTCTGTTGTTCTGGGGTCCTGGAGTTGTGGTCACTGCCTGGCCCCTGTGTCCCAGCCCCCAGCACCTCCCTGGACAACTGTTGTTTTTCTAGTCTGGAGTTGAAGGAGTTGCTGGTTGGTCCTCAAGCCCTGGGCTGCTCTCATTGGCTCTGTGGGTGGCAGATGGTTCATCCGTCACTCACATTGGGCCAAACAGAGACTCAGCAAAAGCAGAAGTCACAGGGGCAGCCTCAGGGGAGCCCAGGCCTTCAAGGGTACTGGTTGCTTGTTGTTGGGCCTCTAGGGCCTCTAGATGGGACCTGGGCAGAGTGGTGCGCGTACACAAGGGTTCCCCAAGTCACTAATGCCAGGGAGTGAAAGGAGCACCCACTTAGAGCACAGTCTGCACCCATGGGCTCCGGGGAGGTGGGACTCACATATCACAAGAGACAGCTCAGCGCTCCCTAGAGGCAGAGCATGGAGCATCCACTGCCAGGCAAAAGACCCGATGGCTAAGGGAGTGACCACAGGCAAGGAGATGTTTCTTGTATCTGGGCACCCCAGAAAGCAGCTGTTCAGAAAGTGGACAAAGACTTGGGTTAAGGGGCCCTGCTCTGAGCAGAGAGACTCAGCCTAGCTGGTGTCGTGAGCACAGACTAAGGGCAGTGGGTACCGTGAAGTCGTCCCTAAGGCTTCCTCCCAAGGACTGTTAGCAGGGCAGTGTTCAGAAGTCCTGGCCAGGAGTCAGTTGGCTCCTGACTGGGGCCCCAAGCAAGTGTTGTCCAGGTCTCTGTAGTGAGAGAAGTATGTGTGTGTGTATGTGTGTGTGCATGTGTGTGTGCGCACATGTGTGTGTGCGTACGAATGTGAACCGTCCTTGGCTTCGTCCATTCTTCTCTCTGCTCCTCCTGCCATAGCCTGATCCCTCTGAGCCTTGTACCCTGGCCCTCCCCAGTCCGTCCATCAGTCTCTGAGCAGACATTTTCTGAGGGCTGTACCGAGACAGTTCTAGGCACTGGAGCACAGGGGTGGCCATGACAGGCATCCCTGCCTTCCAGCAAGTGACAGACAGCAGTGAAACAAAAGGTCGTGTGGGTACTGCGGGGGACCAAGGATGCTCCACCGTAGGCATGAGGTCCCTGAGCAGCCCATCAGAGCTTTCCAGACAGGCCATGGCAGTGCAACGGCCCTGAGGCAAGAGGGATGGGTACCAGCACAGGGAAGCAAGCGGCTGGCTCCTGTGGACTGGTCGCCAACAGTATGACAGTTTGGCTTCCCCTGGGGACAAGGCAAAGCCGAGGGTCTGCAGGAGAGGGGGATGGGCTCCAGAGTTGGCTTGACAGGGTCCATCTGTTGCCTCCAACATGGAGGTGCTGGGAGGACCATCACAGTGGCAGAGTGCCTGTGCTGGAGGCCGGGGTCTGCTCTGAAACAGCAAGGATACCTGAGGGACCCCTGCCCCCTGCGGCTTCTCCCCAGCCAGTCTGCCAGTCTGTCCAGATCCCCACCAGAGTAGCAGCGGGAGGGGCACCAGATACGGGGGGGGGGGGGGGGTACTTTGTTGTTGTCTATTTCCAGCCCTATTACCTGCCCACGATCCAATTTCCTGAGGCCATTGTGCAGCGGGCCTAAGGCGGTGGGAGTGGAGAGAGGACACCACAGGGAGCCGGGCGCTGCCTCCCCTTTCCACAGTCGGCCATGATGGCTGAGCTGGCAGACCTCGGCTCCCAGCCAATGCCCCCACCCCCTCGTCGTCTCCAGGCAGTGAAGTCCTGCGGCTCTCTGTTCATGCCCCTCCCACCTCGGGGTCTCATAGGAGCCCCAGCCAGGGACGCAGGCCCAAACAGAAGGGCCTGGGGCATGGTGGGAGAGCTGAGGCTGTGCCAGGGAAGTGTGAGGACCCGAGGCAAGGACCAGGATGTAGGCTCCACAGACCTACGGGTGACTCAGAGAGCAGCGCGGCAGCTAGAGGGCGCCTGTGGGCTCAGGTCCCCACAGGGGCCAGCCACAGCTAAGGTGTGGGAGAGCCTAGGCTGACGGGGAAGGAGTGAGAGTGGCCAGGCCGGGGACTGCGTGGAAGGCAGGGTCCGTGGAAGGCAGGGTCCGTATCCTCGGAAGGATGGGAGGCCTGAGATGAGAGCTGAGGTCATCATGGCTGAGCCCGGCTCCGCCCACATAGTGCTGTCTACTGCTGTGTAGGTGAGGGGTGAGGTGACTGCACTCAGAGGGCTTCCCAGGAGTTAAGAGTGTCCTGAAGGCAGAGATTAGGGTGGGCAGCCTCTTTACAAAATAGGCCTTCACTGGTGAATGGATGGTTAGACCAGTGAGGACTGGTGAGGAGAGCAGCCCAGAGCTGGCCTCCTGGGTTCCTTGTCTGTAGGGTTGTTGAGGACACTAGTTCCCTAGCATAGTAGGTGCTCAATCAGTGGCATTTGGAACAGATATGTGTCTAAATCCCTCCCCCTTGTGCCTTCCTGTTGGAAAACTCCTATGCACTTGTAAAAGCCCAAATCAAATAACCCCTTTGCTCTAAAGCTACCCTCATTGCTAAGGTCCCCATACCCCTCTGGATTCCTTGGCCACTGCAGCTATGCACCTAACATTGAGTCCACGGCCGACACAGAAATGAAGCTGGCTTCTTCTGCTTCAGCCCAGCTGTTACCTGGGTTGACAAGGCCTCTGGACGGCAGGGAGGAGGCAGCCCTCAAGTGGGCCACTGGCTCCCTAAAGTGGGTCCTTTGCTCTGTGGCAAGGGACGGAGACAGGTGATTGACGTCCATGGGAGGCAGGAGGGGCCCCAGCTGAGGCTGGACTGACCAGAGCTGTGTTTGTTCTCCTCCTTGGCTCATCCCTCTCTGGCTCGACCCCCGCTTGCTCTCTCCTTGTGCCCGCCCCACACACCTCTGCCTCCCTGACTCAATGCTGAACCCCTCGGGGTCTTTTCTCCTCTCTGCCATCTGCCACAGAGCCCCCGAAGAAAAAGCGGTCTGCGGTACTGGATGGGATCCTGGAGCAGCTGGAAGATGCGGACGACGGTGGCAGCGAGCAAGCCCTCCAGCTGTGAGCCGGCACCGAGGGTGCATGGCTGCAGGGCCCCGGGGCCGGGCGTTGCGATACAGGAGGTCTCCATGGGACAGGACCAAAGCAGACAAAAACCTGGGGCAAGTACCGGACGTGAGGACAACTTTTCTGCTGGCTCTGCACCGGTGGCGTGTTGAGCAGCTGCTGAGCTGGTTCCTGCACTGGGTAACACTTGGGAGGTGACTCCGTAAGGAGCTCAGGCCTGGCAGCGTCCTGTGGCGTGGCTGGCCAGACTCTGGGATGGGTGACAGGGTGCACAGCCACTGTAGAGCTCCTGGCAGGAATGAGTCGCTGTCTGGGCAGGGACCCGAAGCTCAGCCCTGTTCACCAGCCACCAGGCCCCACCCAGGCAGGTCCCGCAGCCCTGCTTTGCCCTCTACAGGACTGCTTGCCAATGGACAGAGCTGGGGACTCTGCCTCATCACCGGGGCCCCTTCCTAATCCTCGTGATGCACCCTTCCAAGCCCTGAAGTGCACTAGCACCGCTGACGGTCCTGGGAGCCCCACCGAGGCCTCACTGCACCAGAGGTTTCGAAAGGGGTCTCTGGCTGGACACCTAGCACAGCCTCTCCATGAACGCGGATGCACCATCAGCCCGAGGAGGACACGGCACCAGTCAGGGAGCGAGGCCACAGCCCCAGACCCACCTCTCAAGCGAGATGCTTAGGACTTAAATCATTTTGAGTTTGAGGGGTGTCTGTTCAGTGCAGGTCACCCATCCAGCCAGGAAGACCTGAGGAGACACTACTCTCACCTTGGGGCTGTTGTCACCGAGGATTGAAGATACACTGGACAGGACTCAGAGCCCTGGGCTTTCAGACTTTATGTGAGAGTCTTGGCCTATGAATTCTTTGTGGGGATGAGGTCCTGCCTTCCAGATTGGCTGGACCCCAGTTCCAGGTAGCTGGGACCATGCCCTATTGGTGGGGCAGGCATTTTGTTACAATTCAGGGGTGCTGAGGACTAAGCAGTAAATGACAGAGCCTAGAATTTCCCCTCCCTCTACCATGATGTCACTCTGTCACTCAGATGGCGCCCTGCACCAGCCTCCACTATGGTGATGCACAGAGGGGTCAACTTGATGCTTGCCACACACCCATGCTAGACCGTGGGGATCAGGAACCACAGCCCACGTCACTGTGGGTCATTAGAAACTGACCCACGCACTCCTGGTGCACCCACGTGCCACAGCACCTCAGCCAGGACAGCCTAGGGCAGAAAGCCATGGTCTGATGCCATCTTAAACTCCTCAGGTCAGAGCAGGGTCCACACCTGTGATGCTTGGCATGGGATCCACTTGCCTAGGATCTGACAACCTGTGCTCTGCCTGATTGGCCTCTGAGACCTAGAGCTCTCCAGGTCCCAGCACCCATGCCAGCCAGACAAGGTGGTACGCACCCATAATTTCAGATCTTATGGGGTAGAGACAAACAGATCCTTAGATGGATGGACAGTGAGCCTAGCCAATCAGGGACCCAGTGAACCTTTGGCTTCCACATGTACCTCTTTCCAGTCCCCCGCCCCGTACCCCACTCTATGTCACATATATAATCACACACACATAAATAGAACTTGTGGGTGGCCAGTGCCCAGGACATCTGGGGAGCCTTAGAAGTTGTGGGCAACACAGGCCTGGGCCTCCCTGGGCCTCACAAGACAGGAGGAGCCTGTGAGTCCAGCAAGGGTCTCGGGGAGATAGTTTCTCCCCAGCAGCCCAGGGCGGAAGACTGGACTCATTGTCACCCACCCCGTGGTTCCTCACACGGGTAGGCTCTGGTGGCTGGGACGTGAATACCTTCATGTGGCTCCACCCTCAGCCTTTGAGTCCTTCTGAGAGACCATCTGGGACTCCAGGGCCAGCTGAGAAGGGACGTCCAGGGAACAGAGTGGAGTCAGAGCCAGCATGGAGGTTTGAGATGGAACAGGCCTTGTCCCGCAGGCCACTGGCTCACAGCAAAGGCTGGAGGCCGTGAGCCCCGAGCTCAGGTCCTAATGAGCATTGTCACTCTCTAGTCAAGGACATCCATATCAGAACAGGCATCCGGTTGCAGGTGGAGAAAGTAGAGTCAGCAAAACCTGACCCTCATTCACGCATTCCTTCATCAAACCTAGGCTGGACTCGGCTCCGAGGGCAAACCAGGGTGCCTCTGTGAGTGTCTTCTTGAGACATGGCATTCCTTGCTAGATGGACTCCAGAGGGTGTCTTAGGCCTTGAAATGCACACATGGGGTGCTGGAGAGATGACCCAGCAGTTAAGAGAGTGTACCACTCTTCCAGAGGACCCAGGTTCAGTTTCCAGCAGCTACAGGAGGTAAGCCACACTCAAGACTACCATTAACGCCAGCCAGCGCCCTCTTCTGGCTTCCATAGGCAATTGCACTCATCTGTCACACACAAAGAGACATACACATCAATAAAAATAAGTTGTTTGCTTTTTTTTTTTTTTAAAGAAAATGTTCTCATCGGGTACAAGGCAGCCCCCCCCCCCCCGGTGTCCCCCCCCCCCGTGTGTCCCCTCGCCTCTGCCTCCCCACTGTCCTGCAGCCTCCCTCCCCACCATCTGCAGCCACAGCCACCACTCAGGACTGCTGGGGCAGGATCAGCTGGGGGTGTGCACTCAGGCTTTGCCGAACAGAGCCGAGCTCAGACTCAACATCTAATTCAATTTGTTCTGCCGAGATTGAAATATGAAATGGTTGCCAGTCAAAAAACGTTCAAAGGACGGGGAAGGAGGGAGAGGGTGCCTGCCGGAATTTAAATTTTAATGAAAATGACTTTAACCCTTCGGTAAGGCCCAGAGGAAATGGAACTCGAGCTCGGATCCTGGGAATGAAGCCTCCAGGGCTCTGTCTGCCAGTTCCCTCTCACTCTGCCTCACTGGGAATGGCTAGGCCTTTTCCCCTGCAGAGTGGCTTCTTAAAGCTTGGGCCGCTCCTTGCTTCCCTGTAGCCTGCTTGCCCCTGCAGCTGGAGCGCACCGACAAGCGTCCCAGCTCACACACACATTCCCCACCCCCTTCAAGACACATCAGTCCCATCAGAGCTCCGTGTGACACCACATCCCTCCTTATGTGCGTTTATTCTAGATAGGGCTGCACTGCCCAGGCTCATCCTCTGCTCATGGGCTCGGGCAACCGCAGCCTCCAGGCACAGGGCCCTGTACCCACTCCTAATCCTGTCCCAGCAGGTTATTTGGGGTCAGCACCATCCTGACAGTGAGTCTCAACAGAGCAGTGTCCGTCTGGCCTGGCAGGCCCTGGGGACTTTGTGTTTAAAATGGAGGGGAGAGTCCCCCTCCACCCCCACAGTTTCTCTCTCAGAGCATCCTAGAGGTGGGTGACATTCCCCTGGTACCAACACGGCCCAGACAGTTGGCACCAGCTCTTTATCTGGCAGTGAGGACAAGCGGCTTCCGGGCCACCATCCAGACAGCCCTGGAATGGGAAGCATGGACCCAAGGCAAGGGGAGGACAAGGGGAGTCCACACTTACTTCATTACCCAGTTCACGAAGTCATTTCTTCAGGCTGTTGCCACAAACAGATCCACAGATTTTCCAAGCTCTCCAGAGTATTAACAAGGGGTCATCGAAACAGCTCATTGTCTAAAAGGTGCCTGCTGAGAAGTCTGACAGCATGAGTTCGATTCCTGAGCCCCACAGAGTAGGAGAGAACAACACCCCCCCCTACACACACACACACGTTGTCCTCTGACCTTCGCACATGCTGTGGCATTCACACATGACCACACCAAATAAGTATGAAAACTTTAGATATATTTAAATGTATTTATATGTCAAATTATATTTTAATACATATTTGTATACTAAATACATATATTTAAAAATTTCACATTTATTTTGTGTGGATATATATATCCATATATATAGATATATATATATCCATCCATCTGTCAACAACAGGCCAAGGGCCAGATCAAGACCCTGTTTATAGTTTTCTCCAAACACTGCTGTGCCACTAAGATCACATATTATCTACACAGATTGCTATGGTGAGAGGCCTGAGTCTCGGCTCCGTCACATGTGGGCTGGATGACACGGCACTGACTTCCCGGGGCCTCAGCATCCTTCCAGGACAGACACACTGGCTGATGGAAAGTCATCTTAGTTACGGCTTTGATTGCTACGATTAAACCCCATGACCAAGGTGAACTTGGGAGGAGAGGGTCTACTCAGCTCACACTTTTCATGTCACTGGTCATCGCTGAAGGAAGTCAGGACAGGAGCTCAAGCAGGGCTGGAACCTGGAGGCAGGAGCTGATGCAGAGGCCATGGGGAGGTACTGCTGACTGGCTTGCTCCCCATGGCTCCCTCAAACTGCTTTCCTACAGAACCCAGGTCCACCAGCCTAGGGATGGCCCCACCCACAATAGGCTGGGCCCTCCCCCCATCAATCCCTATAAAGGAGATGCCCTACAGGCTTGCCTACAGCCGTTTATTATGGAGACATTTTCTCAATCGGAGCTCCCTTCCCTCAGATGGCTCTGTGTCATGATGACATGAAATTATCCACCACAAATGCTTAAGTCAGGACATGCCAAGAGCTGGGAGAGGCCCCAACACACACACTATAAACCCTCTCCTCTGGTCCTCCCATCCCCCAGTGCAAAAATAGCATTCTCATCCTCCACCCCCACAGGCACCCCCACTTCCCAGCTGCCCTGGAGACCAAAGTGTTCGAGCACAAGCCCTAGGCTGGGGTTGGCCCTGTGAGTGATAGAGGGGACCTACACGTTCATTATAACATCACCAGACATCCAAAATGCCTCCCTCCAGCTTCCTTAATAAACCCCACTTCTCCTTAATTGTGTCCATCCTGACAATGATCCACGGGCAGGAGCCAACACCAAATGCATCCATCCCTACAGATACACACACACACACACACACACACACACACACACACACACACACACGGCAGCAGCTCCTGCCTCTTCCTGGGAGCCGTTGAGAGTCCTCCCTTCCCCCGGACTCCAGGATATATCGCCACCACCCAACCTGGACACCTGCAGTTCACAGAGTGGCTTGCTGGAATCATAGGCAAGGAGACGACCATACATGGGGAAACTGAGGCTGGAGAAATGAGCCAAGACACTCAGGATGAATATTCCAGGGAGGCGCAAGGGGAAAGCAGGCACCCCCTCCTCTCAGGTCCTACCTCACGATTGACTAAAGACTGAGCCTCTCTTTCCCTTTTGCCCAGAGGGAGGGGAAAAAAAATCTTGGTGAGCATGTGACCCTACCATCCACAGACAGCAGAGAGAAAAGGCCTGTTTCTGTTACGACGCCTCAGACTGTGCCCCCCACCCCCTGCCGCCACCACAGAGGTCTAGAGCAGTGAGCCTCTGGGTCAGGACCCCTCTGGCAGACCTCTATCTCCAAAAATATTTACCTTTTGATTCATAACAATAGCAAAATCGCAGTTACAAAGTAGCAACGAAAGTAATTTCGTAGCTGGGGGTCACCACAACATGAGGATTGTATTAGGTCTCAGTATTAGGAAGGTTGAGAACCAATGGTCTAGAGAGATAGGATCCAGACCCCAAACCCTTCTGCTCCCAGTATGAGCATTTTCGGGGGTAATGGCTCAACATGAGATAGTTTGCAGAACCTAAAATGCAAGCTTTGTATCTCAGTGCTCAGTGAAAGAGAATCTTGTAAAGTCAGGGGCCTCCAGCTGCATTGATTTTTTTTTTTTTTGAGAGTGTGCACAGTTAAAGGTGCGTTCTGGCCCCTGGCTTTTGGGGCTTTCAATACAATGGAGGCAAGTCTCCAGAGTGGAGACTATGGGCAGGCCAGAGGATGCCCATACTACCAGCAATGGTAGAGGAAGAACTCCTGCCCTGCCCCTCAAGCACACAGCCTGGAGTCCTCATGTGGCTCCTACCTTATTCCTTTGACTAGGACATGGCAACCTGGGAACCATGGTAACCTGCCTCCTCCTGGGAGCAGTTAGTCCTTCCTTCCCACGACTCTAGGTAATATCACCACCACCCACCCTGGACACCTGGGAAACAATCTATGTTGTTACGTAATTCTGGGAAACAATCTATGGTGGTTAACTGTCTCGTTACTATGACCAAACACCTGATAGCTGCAACTTGGATTCACGGTTTAAGGGTGCAGTCCGTCATTTTAGGCAATGGCTGGGCAGGTGCGACAGCCAATGTGGGAACAGGATGCTGCTTGCTCACATCTTGAGATGACCAAGAAACAGGGCCAAGCTGTGCACCCGAAGTTCCTCCCAGCCCCAGTGATCCACTTCCTCCCAGAAGGCTCCATTTCTAGAAGATGCTCCAACCTCCCCCAAACAGTGCCACCTGCTGGAGATCAGACGGTCAAACACAGGAGCCGTCAGTGAAAGGGGCTGCACCTACAGGTGTGGATATGAGGAGGAAAGATATGGAAGTTGGGGTCACAAGTGCATTCAATCACACACACGCACACACACACATTTTTTTTATATTTATTTATTACGTATACAGCGTTCTGCCTGCATGTACGCCTGGAGGCCAGAAGAGGGCACCAAATCTCATTACAGAGGGTTATG